CCCTGTTCCTGGAGATCTACCTTCCTGCAGAGTTCAGTTCCAACCCTGATCAAACACACCTGTCTGTAATTATCAATGGCTCTGCAGGAAGGTAGATCTCCAGGAACAGGGTTGGGCACCCCTGCTATACACTATAAAGAAATAAAAATATATATAAATACATAAGTGAAATCCAAAGTCTCCTTTATTTACCCTCATAATAAATATAACATTATTTAATAAATATATAATTGCAAAATCTGTTTTTATGCTATTCAATTAGATCATCTTGAAATATGAAATTATATATTATAATTATCTAATCTAATTATACATTATTATATATATATATATATATAAAACAAATGTATAATTAAGAAATCTAATAATTATAATTAGTAATATTAATGAATTATAAAAACAAATTCAATTATGATTATAATTATATATAAATCTCTCTCTCTCGCTCTCTCTCTATATATATACATAATTATATGTAATTAATTAAACAATAATATTATGTATATTTTATATCATTAAATATGACAGATTTGTAATTAAATGTAAACAAATTAAATTAAATATTATAATATAATTAATAAACGACAATACTTTTATAAACATTTATAAATACGTAATTGCTAATTCAGTTATGATTTATAGCATAAAATTGAAATAAAATTTATATAATAATAAAAAAATATAATAGTAATGTATACATTAATGCATATTTTTGATATTAATATACTGAACATTCATCCATGCTCACAGCAGTTATGCAGCTAACTTCCTTCCTTTTTAACTCAGTTGAAATCAGAACTGATTCCATATTGATCCATTATACTCTACAATTTCACACTATATTGATATTTATTATTGTCAGGATGAATGAAGCGTCCTTCACTGACTCAGCGACTGATCACCGTCTCCTTTATTTATCCTTATAATACAGGATTAATGTATGATTTATCAACAGCTACGGTGAGGTGATCACCTCACTTCCATCTGAATAAATTACAATCTCATTCAATAATCGGATTCAAAGTGAGTCATGCAAATCAGTCACATCATATATAGCCTACAGTATATACTACTGCCTGGACTGATGACCTCCCCTGAATATTAAAAGAATAATCTCCATGGCAACAACACAGTGGAGACCTGACAACTGATGTACTGTGATGTCAAGTTAACGGAAGCATACAGAAAAACACACACAATCTGAAGGTTCGTCTCCAGAAATGGTCCTGCTGAGAGTCAAATACAGTTTAATG